CTTCAACATTTACGAAGTTGGGAGTTTCTTTCAATAACTTCAACTAAATTGGCTGAAATATGTTTTTCAAAGTCCTAATTAGTGTAGTTTCTGTTTTTCACCAAAAATACGAATATATGAAAGATATCAAAGATAATGGCTAGTGATGTGTTGATTTTGCCATATTCATCATGTGACCGACATATTAGGCATGAATTGATCAAGTTTCTAACTTAAGAAAATAATCACTATCAGTGTTTCTGAGATCGATTTAAGCATGGCGAGATCTATTATGGATATAGTGGATATGAACAACACGCTTATTTTTGATTTACATTAATAGTTAGAAGAATAAGATTAAAAATAATAGCAGAGTACAATAAAGAAAAAGAAAATGAATAACAGGAAAATAGCATCAAGACAAATAAAAGAAAATGATTCTCTGATGATCGTTTGTCTTACGAAAGCTCACAGTCCATTATCAATGTCTATTTTCAGAGTCTACTGTGAAGGATTCGATGTAGGAGAGAGGCACGATTTTTTACATATTCATCCTCCAGTTAAGTTGCCTTTCGTATTAGTATGCTTTTCACTCTCTTGTCATTTGTTTTCTCTGATATACTCTTTATTAAAGATTAGTTGAAATAATTAAAAAATAAAATACTATACCAAGGAAATATTATTTTCTTTCTCAAAATAAATAATTTTCGAAATCCTTTTTTTTTTATGATGGATATGTTTTTAATTCAATTTCATTAAATAATCAAACATTCGATTTTCTTTTCTTTCTTACTTTAATAAAATTATTTTATATCGATTAGTAAATGAATTCTAATCGATAAAATAAACAATTATATTTTATTATAAAATAGTTTTTTCTTTTTAAGAATATAATATCTGTAATTGAGGAAAATACGAATGAAAATTTTCTGGACGAACAAATGGTTCAACTATAGAAAGAACTTTTAATTGAGAAAAATTGAATTCTATTGAATTATTGGTAAAATTATTTGTTATGATGAGCAGTTGTTCATATTTAATTTTGAGATATAGCAAACAAGGTAGATGAGTAGTTTTTTTCATAAGAAAATCTTCAACGTAATCAATATGTGCAAGTATAAGATGAAGACTACGAAGATGAGGAAATATAATCAATGTATTAGATAAATGTTGTTTATTTTTCTGTTGTTCATCGTTTTTCACAGATAAATGTTGAAGTAAAGGAAAAGATTGAGAAATAATTTTGAAAAATTCATGTTCAAAAGGTCGTATATCAGTCATTTTTATACATTTAACTTTTTCAAATCTACCACCTTGAAATGAATTGTTCAAATAATGAAAATTATCGAATTGATATGGTAATGAATAGATATGACATTGAGCTTCACCCTTCATTAGATTATCATCAGCATATGAACCAACTTGTTGATATTTTCTTTCGATAAAACTACGTTGAATATCATTATTCGAAGGAAGACTAATATTGACACTATTATAAAGTAAAGTATTTATACTGAAAGTAAATTTATTTAGTTGTGGTATATGAATAAGAATTTGATCATATAATTGAATACCATCGATATAAGTCGAATTAAATCTTTTTATGATAAGAAATAATGTTAGTTCTTCGAGATTTGACATTTGACGAAGTAATGGAACAATGAGTTCATCATAATAAATTGTTGGTTTAATCGAACTCAATGAAAAACATTTCAATTTGGAAAGTTGTTTCTAGAAAAGAAAATTATTATTTTATTTTATTTTATTTTATATTTATTGAACAAAATAATCATCAAATATATATTTTTTACCATTTTCTCTATATCTGATATTGAAATAGAAATTGTTTCTATATTGATGATCAATGTTGATAAACAAATGAAACGTCCATCAAGATCATGAATGTAGAGAGAACTTAATGACAATCGATTAAATCGTTGATTTACATCCACAAGTGAATAAAGTATATAGACATTATTCAATTTATTGAATATAGAAATTAAGATTTCGTCAGGTAAATCGAGTATATTCATTTCGTTTTTATTTAATATGTTCATGTATAATGATGGCTATCTAGAAAAACAGAAACAGAGATNTAGTTTAACCAGACAAGGTGTTTAAATTCGTCAGCTCAAGAAAAAAATATAATACGAAATAGAAATACTCTGATTATATATGTATGATGAGATATATTTCCCACTAAGAAAATTCTCGTTATTTTTCAAGTTCATTTCGACTGCCTTCAGTGTATCATTTGAAAATGAGTTTAGAAACTAACATTACAATTTTAATTTACGTATACGTCAACCTATCGAAATAAGAACGAAGACAAGCTCGAGTTTTCTTGTAAAAAAATGGATCGACTTCGTATTAGCGTCTGCTCAAGAGTATACCATCAAGAATATCTCTGTCTGTCATCCTTGTCATGCAACTCAGGTACTATCTGCATCATGACATTTTTTCATCGATGTGAGAAACAATAATCACCTGGATACAACAAGATTTCATCCTATACTAACTTATTTCATTATTTTCATAGATAAAATTTCAAAACATAATTGAGAAAGCTTTTATTCTTTTTTAATGAATCTGTAACGGTCTTCATATCATCGACGTTAAGATTACGATTGTTATTTCTTTCGCATGATCAACTTATTTACCATTAACATAATAAGAGTAAAATCGAAGTGAAAACATTTGTTTTTGTTTGATTTTCTCGTTCTTATGAGAAAAAGAAAAAAAAATTATTTAGAAAGCCTTAGAAGAAAAGAGAGAAAAACATGTACGCATTAAGGTATCGATCGCAAAACGTTCAAGTCAATGCACGGATGAAACGCAAATGGAGGGTGGAAAGAATACGATGTGAGTGTGTGTGTAAATTCGGATAACAGTCTTCTCTTGATTCACATCTATACCTACAACTCACTAATACTGATGATTTCTTCAATGCTCGTAGTCATGATACGTCCTGCATTTCTATTTGTACATAGGAGCGCAACATCGATTTAGCCTATTTTTTCAGAGTTATACAGACAATCAAAAAATGCGAAATTCAGAAGCGTTTTTGAAATAAATCACTGTATTGGATATTTTTACAAAAATAGTCACATGAAAATTATAATCACGGCGAGTTTTCATTATTCCTATCAACGAACGTCACAGAGCAAAATTATTAGTTGTGACTGGAACACAAACACCTGCACAACACTGATCCATTGATTGTCACTAATTCTAGAAAATACTCTGTCTTTGGCAAAGCTCTGGCTGCTATCAGCAATAGCCAATTTGATTCAATAGTGCCAACTGTTGAGTAATGACATACGGTTAAATTGTTTTTTCTGAGTGAAGAAAATGTTTTGTGAAACTGTTTGTGTAATTTATCAACACCGAGATGAGTGTTGATTGACTCACTGCTGTGTTGCTTACGAAATTCTGAAATCTTCTCTCTTCTTTTCTTTCCATTTCATTTCAACATGGACTGCACGAAGTAAAGCATGTAAACAATATGTGATGTATGCTAGCTTTTGCTAGCTGTTTATGACATCGGACACTTTTTGAAAATGCATTTATATACAAATAAGAATTCCCTTGAACCCACATTCACTCATACATAAGTCAATTGCCAGAGAAAGATGAACTGTCACTTGCGACAACCTTCGAAGTAGTAAACGTACTGCGAATCAATTGACTGTATCTGTTTATCTTCACATACAATCTTCTGCAAAATAGGATGATTTTACTATCAAACTCATATAATTTTTTCATGCAAATGTGTGAGTACAGATCGTGGACTATCTAGAAATATTTAGCAATTCCTGTGTCTTTTCTCCTCAAATGGAGATCTTTTTCCAGACCAAACAATGCTGATCTCTTGTATTCAATGCTTTTTGTTGCTCGTGCGTTTTAAAAAACGTACATGAATGAATTCGAATTGCGTAAGAAAGAATGCTGTGCTCCTTTTTAATACTATATTCAAGCAGAAACGAAAATGGATTACAGTTGCTGACGTGTAAACACAATTCTTGTCATGCTTCTTCTAGAATGCAATAAGATTCGATCGAGCCTCTATAAAACAGAAGAGAAAGAGTATTTTTCATTCTATTCCGTGACATTCATTTAGAACGAAACGGCATGGCGCAGCGAAGGAAGACTCGTTCGGCCCGTCAAAAGGCTCAACCTATAGTGACAACATTAGAACAACTTTCAACAGAGATTTTCTTCGAAATTTTTGACTATCTAACTGCAAATGAAATCTGTAAGTCTTTCTATGTTCTCAATAATCAATTCAAGCAGCTTGTATCGAATGCACCCAATATTCATCTCGATTTGACTCAAACAAACACAAAACTTTTAAAAACATTTCAACAGATTTTCTATGAACAAAATATCGTTTCGATTGCAATCTTATATGAAAATGTCAACTTGTTAGAAAGATATTCTGGCTCATCGAGTGGAAATCGATTGAGATCGATTGCTTTGCATGAAGTGCCACTTGCTGAATTCGAACATAGCATACCGACGGTATTGAATCCTTTCAAGGATCGACTAAGAAGCGTAAAGATTGTATTCAGTGGTATGAAATGCCGTCAACTTTGTGATCCCGCTGCTCAATCATTCGGGTATCTACTCACAGAACTACCATTGTTAAAACATTTAAACTTGGAACATTCAAAAGGAATCGATCCGATAACTTATATGCCTTCAACAATTGTGAACAATACAATTGTCAGTTTGACAATTTGGCTACATGAAGCAAGGCGTTTGATGCCATTACTTTATCGATTCCAAAAATTAAAAGCGTTAACACTGTACAGCGGAGCTACAGAGTACCTTACAAAAAGGGCACTACCTCCACAGGATATTAGAGATTATCTAGATAAAATATCAGAAAAAAAATCGATGGAATATCCTGCAACACTTCGTCATGTCAACGTATATGGATACGGATTGGAGTTAAGAAGATTTCAAGCACTGTTCCAGCTCATTATTCCACAAAAATTATTTACTTTGAGCTTCTTCACTTGTCTTCGTGGAGAAGTAAAAAATCCGATACCAAGAAGACAACCCCCGTTTCTGGATGGTACAGAATGGCATGATGTGCTGAAGAAATGTTCCCCTCCAACTATCAAAAGGTTCCACATCGACTACAAAGATGTAGATAATACAATGTCACGTACAAATCCCGCTCCAGTTAAAAAGGAATTTATTCAATATTATGGAGCAGACTTGTCCCGGAAAGTTATCTTTTCTTACAACGAAGATACCAAGCTAATGTCCTTCGATGTAAATTTCAACTTGTGAAATTTTCTCGAATATCAACAAAGAAAATCATTTCGGACCAACTTCTTTCTAATTATTATCATCAAGATTAAATCGTCCATCATAGTCGGGTGTTGAGTGTTTTCGCACTCATAAATAAAGGGTTGACGGAGATGAAATGAAGACTGTTATCCAAATTCACACACACCATATTCTATCCAACCCTCGTTTGCCTTTCATCCGTTTTCAACTCTGCATTTACTTAAGTGTTTTTGCGATCGATACTTTATTGTGTACATGTTTTTCTTTCTTTTTTTTGAAAGCTTTCTCAATAAAATGTTTCTTATTCTTATAAGAAGAAAAAAATTCACTCCGATTATACTTTCATTATGTGACTGGTAAATAAGTTGATTATAGGAATGAAATAACAATCGTAATCTTAACATCGATGATATAAAAACCGTGACAGATTTATTAAAAAAGAATAAAAGCTTTCTCAATTATGTTTTGGAAGTTAGGTTATACGAATGTTGAATTAAATTAGTATAGGATGAAAATCTTGTTGTATCCAAGTGATTATTGTTTCTCACAACAATAAAAAAATATCATGACGCAGGTAATGCCTGAGTTGCATGACAAGGGTGACAGAAAGAGATCTTCATGACATTATGTTCTTAAAACGGGTATTATACAAGTCGAAACTATTGTTTACAAGAAAATTTGAGTTTCACTTCGTTCTTATTTAGATTGGTTAACGTGTACGTACATCAAAATTGTAATGTTAGTTTCTAACCTCATTTTCAAATGACACGTTGAAGGCAGTCGAGATGAACTTGAAAAATAATGAAAATTTTCTTAATTGAAAATATATCTCGTCAAAGAAAAACATATTCGTATATACATAAACAATGTATATCTATTTCATAATATTTTTTTTCTTGAATTGACGAATTAAATACATTGTCAGAATAAACTATTGACGTTGAATAGATGAATAATTTGTTGCTGCAAGCTTGAAAAAACAAAATGCAAAGTCACATAATTGTGATAGGCTCCTCTTGCAAAGGAAAAAGTACATTAACATATTGTTGGCATTGTTTTTCTTGCTAGATTTTTGTTGTTTTTGTCGATGTGCTTTAATTTCATGACAGATGTCAATTTAGTAGAAGTTGCATCTGTTCATCTAACGGGTGGTCGAGCGTTCAATTGAATAAAAGTGGGTTAAAATTTAAGGCAAAAATATGGATTACATTTCATCTAACTTCAGTTTTCTTTCTAGGTAAAAATTCACATTCATTTGATGTCGCATCATAGTTGGTTCGAACCAAGGGTGTGTTTGCTGCTATATCTGGGCGTCAGCATGGATAATAGACTTTTCTCTTTCTCTACTCGAACACTCACAATCATAGAACAGTAATTGTTTTCCTATGTCTCTAAGCCGAAATTCCAAATGTCATCATATTTGTAATGTGTATGCCTTAGAGGATAATGTAGATGAAAAATGCATGATATACGAAAAGGGTATTACTGCGATAAACGCAAATACCTGTAATTGGTGATATATCCTGATAATATAACGAAAGGGTGCCATGAAGCCACCATGTGATAACAGCACACAATGAAGCTCGATATACATTGTTTATACTACTCCATTAACGGAATCAAACATTTTGCAATATGATTAGAAGCCGATCGATTGTAGCCAAACATACACAAGTCAAAGGAATGGAGTCACAACTTGAAGTAAAAAAAATCAAAGTTGTCTGTTTTTATT